CCGAAGCGCTGCCCATGAGGCTATTGGCACCGACTTTACTGTCACATTTGATCAATTTAATGCATCCTTGCTCAATAAAAGTATTAATTTCCTTCAACAACAACAAAATCATACGGGCCCTTTTTGAATGCTAATGTATAAATGATATAAATGCATTATATAAATATATAAACATTAAATTGTTAGACCAGGTCGCATTCACATTAATGCATTTGACAGTGTATTCAAGCTATATGTTTACGTTATTAGTATCTCAAATGAAAGTGCATGGCACAAAACAAACTCTTCACCTCTGTTGCTCATCACATTTCTTTGTGTCTCTCTCCTTGTCTTTCTGTCTTTGTGTGGTCTGGTGTCTGTGCTATCAGGGCATTTGAGGATGAGAGTAAAGCTCGACTAGGAGTGGTCGAGTGTGCCAAACACGAGCTGCTTCAGCCCTTCAATGTCCTGCATGAGAAGGAAGGTGAGGCATTAGTACCACAGTCATAAAATTTCACTTTTATATGTAAAACCTTCAACCAAGCATGAAGATGATGGGGTTAAACCTTTGCAACGAATCACTAAATGAAAATGAAACATAATTTCCTGTCACGCCAGTGCTCAGAGAAGCGCATCCAGCACATTTGCCGCATGACCAGGTCAAAGACTGTTCATAAGGCTGATTTATACTTCTGCGTCGGACCTACGCCGTAGGCTATGCGTCAGTTTTCATTTATACTTCTGCGTCGTTGTCCTCTTCAACGTGCAGTACACATGCAAACCGCTAGTCAGCAGTGTCCACGGGCATGTTGCTGGTGTAACCTGCACGGTACCACGGCAAAAGCCGAAGAAGAAGCGGCTCGTCGGAAGAAGCATTATAGCCGTGACGGTGGCAAATAAATATCAAATCATTAAATCATTATTTAAAACTACAAAAAGGAGACAACAACGGAACAGGAGATGATGGCATTCTTTCAATCTGCACAAGGACTTGTAACACGGCAGATCTACATAGTTTGTTGCGGACAACTACTGATGTATAATGCTATGTAGTATAATAAATGATAAGACACTTGTTCTTTGCTTTGTTTTATTTTATATAAGAAGGTGTAACATTAAAATATATTAAAGTGCACATAAACACACACAAAACTCAAGTACATATGGAGGGAGGGGTTCTTGCAGACCAATCACAGCGCTTGCCGTCTGCGTAGAATTAACGCGCTATTAGATTTTTGGAGAGGTGCACATCAGGCTACGGCGTATGGGTGTGCGTCTATGCGTAAGCTACGGCGTAGGTCCGACGCAGAAGTATAAATCAGCCTTTATTTTAGAAGTTTGGTGCCATCAGCAAAGTCTCGAGAGTCACATTGTCAAACCTTCTGTCTCCTCCCCATCTTCTTTTCTTTCAAGGTGAATATGTCGCACAGTTTAAATTCACGGTGCTGCTCATGGCAAACGGCCCTCTGCGTGTCACCAGTGGACCTTTTGATCCAGAGCTTTACAAGTCTGAGCATGAAGTACAAGACCCAGAGCTCAAGGTAAGAAAATGAGGGGTTCTGGTGTCACATACAGGGAACTGGTATGGAAGTTATATTAGAGGTTTATTAGTTAATTAATTAAAAGTTAATATTTGCAGAATTATTATTTATAGAATTATTACATTTTTTATTCTGCTTTTTAAGGACTAGTTGGAAATTTTATTTTATATATGTAAATACTCTAATAATTGGTAGAAGGAACCCAAGTATGAATATTTGTCAAAGTATGAAAATTATTTTCAAAAATAAAATTATATGATAGTAACATTAAAATAATGTTAATAAAACATTATTGCCAAAATTAAAGTATTGATTTCTCAACTTTTAAAAGATTCTCATTTTTACGAAACAAAAATGAAACAATCGTATTTCAGCTGCAGAAAGATGTCAGTATAACAGCTTGTAAACTGTCACGTAACGTCACATTTACCTCAGAAAAAAGTGTATTTGCTGACCATAAACTTACTTGCCAGCTAGAAAAATTAACTCGAGAGAGGAGTATTTAGCTAAATATATGCACCATATAACATATTCATTATCATTTTTACTGCTCTTCAATATTTAATTTATTATAACTTCATTTAGTGTAATTTAAGTGTTTATATACAAATCAGTTCATTTTAACATTCAATATTAGAGTAATGTAATGTAGTACCAACTGACTCGTGTATATTTTACAGAGTTAGTTGTTTTTTTTCCCTTGATAATTTGCCATGTTGTACATGATATATATCCAAAATGACCAGAATCGAATCGAAAGCTTGTGAATCAAAATTTAATTGAATCATGAGATTTGTGTCAATACCTAGCCCTAATGTTGCCTATAATTCAATATCATTCATTATTAATTAATGTTATAATTTTTTTAAATATATGTTAGTAAGCGAACAAGGGACAAACGTTTAGGGGCCATTGGCAAAAAAATCCTACTCTACGTAATGGAATTCTCCAGTTGGTTTTTGCATTCAAGATTTACTGGCAATGTGTTTTATTATTTGCAGGCATTGTTGCAAAGCTCAGCCAGCCGCAAGGCACAGAAGAAGAAGAAAAAGAAGGTTTGTTGTGTCAGCATCCACTTTCCCCATTTCTAATGGCACTTTGTTGTGAATATGAAACTGTAAAGTTTTTCTTTTCCCAGGCATCCAAAAATGTGGAGAGTGCCACAGGACAACCAGTGGAGGCTGAGAGCGAAGCTGCTGCATAGACTCCCACTGCCAACCAAGCTGACTGACAGAGCCTCTGCACAGCCCAAAGAACAGAACCGTTAAAGCTAATTATGACCTGCCCCACTGAGAGGCCTCCGGCCAAGCCTTGTCTTTTTTAATACCTCCTCGTTCGTTACATAAGACTGCTACAGGGTTTGTGCAGTTTACTTACGTTTGGTTGTCTTTGAATGCGGCTGGGAGTGTGTGGATGAGCAGGTAGATACTGTCCAGCCGTGTTTACAGGAGGCGAGTGCTGGGTTTCTTTTGACCCTCTCTGTCATTGTACAAGCCATCATGAACAACAAAAGTGTAATGGTGGCACTCTTTAGGCAGTTTTGCTACAAAGTGCCATTCATGTCCATGCAGATGAGATCCCTGTTTGAGGTCTGTTAAAGGTTGAGTTTTTGTCAGTTGGGAAATGATCATAATTTGTATTGATGACCTGTAATGAGTCTTTGGAGCGGTAACGGCCTCACTACACCTTAAATATAGCAAACCAACTACAATGGAAGCACTGTTAATCAATTTGGTAAGCTTTGATTTCTGTTAGATGACATTCAGCATTCGTTTTCTAGTATTTCCAGAATTATGAAAATGCTTTTCCAGAGTCTGTTTCGATGTAGATCTTTCCCTCAGCTTATTGGTCTGACTTCTCAAACCATTGTTTATTGACTGACCAAATTATCCTGTGATTTTATAAACCTACAACTAATAAATTTAATTAGCCAATTGATGGATCAGAGCCTGGTTTGTTTGTTTAAACTCAACAAATATCACAAAATGTATTCATCTATCAGATTGCAGCAGTCAAATGACACACAGAAAATATTATGAGTGTCATTAGACACAAAATGTCAAACCCAGTGTCATCTGCAAACCAATGACATACCTATAAGGATATAATTTAACTTAACCAACTGGTCACAAGCATAGACTGTATAAAAACAGGTCACAAGGCAATTTAACGGGAACCGTGGAGTTATTTCCTGTCTAATTCGCACAGGTGTGCTAGTAGAGTATCCACAAGTTTAGTTCATTTTAACTATCGATATATTGTACTAAGTTTGACAACTAGAAAGTGTCGAAATACAATTCCAGAGAGAAAAGGCGAAAGGGAACTGGATTCGTTTCTCGCGCACTGCCGCCCACACAAGAAGCGCGTACACTCGTTTCAGACGGCGTGCGAACACTGAACTCAATCCTCTTTTAAATCCTTTGAACAGACACATACACATAAAATTATGGCAAAATACCCATCTCGACAATCAGTCGGGTAAACGCAGTCAGTTATGTCTCAAGTGAATGAAAACAGCTGAGAAAGAAATCGGATGTGAAGTGTATCATCATCATATCGGATCCGTGCGTCAGGTCTTAAAGGGACAGCGGCCTATAAATACTGCTGCTGTCATTAATGATCATCAAACAACAAAACAGCTGTGATAAAAATCTATATTTAATTTATACAGTGGACACTCTGTAGTGTTATTTTCCCTAATTATTACTTTTCTGTATTTGAATACTACCAACCTTATTTTATTTGTAACATATTCTGTTTGTTGTATTTATCCATACTTGTAATTTGTGTATTTGTTCTTATTTTTACTGGCTGTTCTCTTGTCTCTTAAATGGAAAGCAAGTTAAAGTGAAATATTTGTCTTTTCTTGCTGATCCGAAAAATGATCCGATCCGTGGGTCAAAAACCATAATGTGATCCGAACCGTGTGATCCGCTGAACCACTACTTTTTAGTGTTCCAAGTGACCAAATACTTCTTGAAAAGCCTTTACTGAATGTGTTGCTGGCAATGTATTGTAGGTCCACACGGTTTTGGTAAACTCCGCAAAAAAGAGAAACGTGCCTTTTCAGGATACTATATTTTAAAAATCATTTTGTAAAATCCAAATAGGCTTTACAGATCTTTATTGGAAAGGATTTAAACAGTATTTTACATACTTGTTCAATAAACAATTATTGCACATGTAATGTAAAACACACCCCATAAGTTCTGAAACACATAAAATAAAACCATTTGATTATTTTTATTAATTATAAATTGATACATAACTAATAATAGTGTATAATGAATTATATATACATTTTAATTTAATTGTACTTTTTATTTCAGACCTTGTACCGTAAACGCTTAAGCAGTGTCACATTGTCAAGATTCTTGACCACTGTATAAATTTGATGAAAAATTATTGACCGGTGTAGCCGGGGTGTAGCACGCGTTTCTTTTTGTAGTCGCTGAAAAATGACGCAACAGAACCGAGGCGTATATAAGAGCCCGTCCCCCGCATGACGTTCTCTTGGAGTCGTTGCTATCGCTTGACGAGGTGAGGAGATAGAGTCCGCTGACATTGCGTTAACATCTCATACAATCCATTGCAATCAAGACATTTACACACGAGCCATCGATAACTCTAACATCATTTGTTTATTTACAGAACCATCTTCTCATCATGAGAGCGAAGGTGAGTACATTTTTCATATAGAAGTGAAATAGAGCGTCTCGTTATATGGCTAGTCTTGGTGGCTAATATATTGTAAATTACACTGTAACTGTTTGATGCTATTTAACTGAATATTTTACTGTAAGCTTATTTGTAACCATGTGGCATAAAGTCACTAACTGAGAGATTTAGTGTTGTATTTTGTAGGGTTATAACGTTACTCGGGCCTACTGTGCTACCCTGCTAACGCACTTTGTCGCAGGGAATATTGTTACCAGATTGAGCTTGCAGTCGCTGCATATTGCGTTTTTTTTAATTAACTTATTTACGTTGATAAAATGGTGGTTTATTATAAACGTTAATGTTCTTTATCGCTTCTTTTTGGTTTCTTATAACTATTCCGCCCGAACGGCCATGCTGCGTAGTGAAAATGCAGCCTATGGCGCCAGTTGCGAATGCGCATGTGTTTGAGTTGCAATGCTGTTTTTAACTGCCTAATCCCAGTTTATTAATGGTTTTACTCTTCTTGCAGTGGCGAAAGAAGCGCATGCGCAGGTAAACGTGTAACTATATAAACGGCATCTTACGTTCTTTCCCTTTGGAATGGGCATGAAGTGATTTGAATCCATTTTTTTTTTTTTTTAGGCTGAAGCGTAAAAGGAGAAAGATGAGGCAGAGGTCAAAGTAAACTGGACCCTGTTTGCTGAAACTGAGAGTGCTCCTCCACTTTAATCTCTGCAAGAGTCTGCTGAAAGATCAACTGAAGCTCCACTCATCCACCATCTGTGAGGCCTGCGTTCTTCTGAATGAGGATTTGGTTTTCCATCACCTGGTTCTGCAGAAGCATCCTGGTCTTGATGACCTTGTGAACTGTTTTGGACATTCCTCAAACCTGTTAGCTCAGCGAGTTTGTTGTCTTCAATAAATCTTTTGGTTTAAAGTCATTTTGCCTAATGTTTTCTCTTGTATGAAGTTATTGGGTTTTATTAGTGACGTGTAAAGTTAAAAGATCTAGCTAAAGTATTGCAGGAGCCAGTAGTGTTGGAAGGCACATTGCATCTAGAAGGCTTTAATTCCTGCCTTGGTGTATTTCACTTGTGCATGTCGCTTTTCCCTTGTGCTAGAACACTTTGTTTTTAACCTAATTTAGCTTTTAAATCCGTTATTGCCTTCTAGACTATGGACTCTTATAGCATGTTATAACATGAAACTTGGCCATAATTGTAGTTCCCTGCCATGTTTTGTTCGGTGATCTGTGACAAAACCCGTGCAACGTTTATTTAGGAGTGTAACGTTAGTTAAATTAACCGCCGAGGGACTAAATTAGCAGAAATCCATAACTGGACAGCAGCTATTAACATGAAAACTGAAGTTTAGTGACTTTTATTTGCGTTTAGAAATGTAACCGCAGGGTGGTAACTTTGGCTGTATTAAGGGCTGGTAATTTTTCAATGTTACAAAATTGTCGCGTGTGATAGTAAATGCTGCATTGATTGTAAACTGTATCGAACACCGGTGCATAAACGATGCAGATTTAATCTGCACAGCAACAACCATGGCTTGAGCCAGTTTCTAGGTGATTAGTTTGCCTTCAGTGTTTTGACTGCAGTGTGCAGGTTAGCCAGTAGTTCATAATTTAGTCGTAGTTAATGGACAAATGTTCGTTTGCATTAGCTTTTTTAATTATTTTTCATTAAAATGCATTTTCTGCATCAGTGTTTTGCTTAGCGTGTAGAAAATGACACCACATTGGTTGTCACATGTCGGTATGTAAACACCTATGCGACAGTTTAAATGTGCTGGAGGCTAAAAATTATATTGGTGCACTGCATCTTGACTTCAAAATCCCTGTTTTCTCGTTCAGCCTTTTCTGTCGCTCAAAGCGTAACATAACGGGGTTCAGTGACTGGTAAATGATGGGTGAGTTCCTTAGAAAGACCGCGAAAATGTGCATGATCCCACACCCAGACGTTTTAAGGTTCTCGGTGTGGTTTTAACAAGAATCTAGAAGGGCTGAAGCCTTCAAAACACGCCCCTACACGCCCATCTTATAAGCAAACTAGAAATGCCCAACTTTCCGCTGCAAAGGAACAGACAGACGTGCTGTTTTCGTAGAGTGAGCGAATTATGAGTCATTTTTTGTTCTTGTTTAATCGTATGTGTACAGCACATCTTCGTTTCGAGCGGTATTGAGTGGGTTTCTAGTGTCTAGCGCGGAACCGCTCACTGAAGACGGGATTTGATGCAGAAAGAGCCGATGTCATCTGAGGATGCAGGGCCGAGCGCGGGTGCTGCTCCGGAGGTTGCGGACTCGGCCCTGCCTCACGATTCCGCTGGAAAACACGCCGTGTCCGTTCTCTGGTCCTTTGGAAAGTGCGTCGGTGCCTTATTGCCGGTCTACCTGGCTGGATATTTCGGATTCAGTATCAGTTTAGTTTTGCTCGGTCTCCTGGTTTATATGGGATGGAAACATAGTCGCGATGGAAAAAATGCGCGACTGCAAAGCGCAATGTATTTTTTAGAAAATGAGCAGGATGTCACCACTACACGGGTGTTTAGAAGTAAACGGGAATTGCCGGCATGGGTAAGGGATTTATTCCATAAATGGCATCATTCTAGTAGCCAACAGTTCAGCACCGTAGCCATCAACACATGAAATCTTCGAGCAGATAGACATGCAGGATTTCTTAGCGCTTTTCGCTGGTATTTTTGTTTACAATAAGCGTAAAAAGTGTATATTTAGGTGCTTTCGTGGCAATGACAGCTTTATTTCATGTTGTAGTTATTTACTGATATGATTTTAAATATTTATTCACCTACTCTTGCAGTGCAACCTGTTAGTAGCTATTAATTACACATCATACGCATCATAATTACACACGCTATTACACACTCAGTGTTCTACATTCCTTTAAAATAACATCTATTTTTATGTTACAGTACTTATGTTTTTGTAATTACTAGAAATTAATCCAGTATTGACCCGTTTCCTTCATCATGCTAGTACTTATTCCAAAAATCTATTGGTTAGTCACTAAAACTATTAGTTACATTGCTAGTCACTATCCCATTAACAAGTAAATATTCCATTTGTAATTGGTAACCAATTGCATTTACCATTGAAATTTACGCAGATCTGTAGTTTAGATATCAACCATTCACTTCTGACTACTGAGAAATATGCATTGGTTACAAACGGTACCCATACCTGCTACTAGTTACTATCCCAATAACAAGTAAATATTCCATTTGTGACTGGTAACAAATTGCATTTACCATTGTAGTTTCTGGTGATCTGTAGTTCAGCTAACAACTTTTTACTACTCACTAGTATGCATTCAAGGAAGATTTAAGTTCACTGAAACGTGTTCATTACAAACTAGTACCTATACTTGCTACTTGTCACTATCCCAATAAAAAAATACTAATATTACGTTTGTGACTGGTAACCAATTGCTTTTTCCATTGAATTTTATGGGGACTGTAGCTCAGATATCAACTCTTTGATTCTGCCTAGTATTTCAGTTTTACAAGTAACTGACTACCCGTCCTTACTTTTTATTTAGTAATATTAAAATAGTTGATGGTACCATATCAGTTTTTCTAGCAGTAGTAGAATAGACACTGGTACGTGTTTATTAGGCGCTAATGTGTATTCATAGCAGTAATTACTAAAAAATGAACTATAAAGTAGTTATTCTGACTAAGTTAAATTAAAAAAAAGCTGTTGTAACCAGTGAGATGCTTCACTATCATTGATTTTACATACAGAAGGTTTCTTTCATTTTGTTAACAGGGAACTATAGTTTCGGTACTATATTTATAATATATTACGACATTATCTGTAGTGAGAATGCGTGTTCATGCCCCTGTATTGCTTCATCATCATAGCGAGAGCTTCTTTCAGCCAACTCTGCCAATTAAAGTTGACAGTTTTCTCCCTTTCATAAGCATCCAGCACACTCCCTGACAGAGTTCATATTTATATTCTCCTTACCTCCCTCCTTTCATCCCCCGTCCCTCATTAACTTCATTACATTCCAAAGTCAGTCCAGCCCTTGCTATATTTGGACATTGAAGTATCCAACCTCATGGGACTGAGTCACCAGCAGCTAAATGGCAAAATGAACCATTTGCAGCAAGAATTTGGTGAGGGGGTGATGGGAAAACATGAAGAAGTTGAAAATTGTTTGGAAAGGTATGACCTGTGGTCAGTGAAACTGTTGTGCCACTTTCCTCACGTACCTCACATGTACATAGTGGCTTTTTTAACTGATGTGTTTTGTATAAACCTACCCACATCCTGTTACAAATTATGTGTTTAAACTTTAAAGAGCACTGCTGCAGAAATATACCTTTGTCTGGTGTCTTAGATTAAAATATATAGTTGGGAATCGTGTATGTAGAGGGTCAAGTTATATTTAATTTAATTTAATTACCTTGTTATTTGGTAACTTTATCATTTGTAAGTTAATTAAATTGTAATGTTTTATTTAGTTATTTATTTATAGTTAAACATCTACACTGAAGTCAGAACTGACCTTTAATTAAGGTTCCTTTGCCACTGAATATTTGTTTTTAGTCATACTTTTATGATTCTTTCTTCCAACTATTGCGGTCTACTATTGCCATACTATTTAATGGAGTACATTTTGTTAAACATTTACAAGTATTGTGCAAGAATGACAGTATTTTCAAGAACTGGCAAAACTGTGTATTCCTGTGTCTGCACAGCTGGTGTTTTCACAGGAAAATGCTGGTGTTTTGTTAACAACAGCTCTGACCTTCACAGTGTTTATTTAGTGTACAATATAAGAGGTCTCCTTGCATACTGCATGTAAAACCATTCTGTTATATGTGTTGACATCGGAAGTCAAAGTGTACTCTTTGTTTGCCATAGGTGAACTTTCCTGACGTGGAAAAGGTTGAGTGGATGAACAAGGTATTAAACTCTTTATTCAAATACACAAATGCACACGTGACCGCAGCTGCTGTTCTCATTGTTTCTGCTTCGTGCTCCTGAGGGCACAAGCGTGTATGTTTTCAAATTCAGTCCCTGAAGATAAATCGTTGAACGGTTTGGCAGCACTCCAGTCTTTGCATAATGTTTATTAAGTTGTCATTGGCGTAATAGACCTTATTTTGGAATAAAGGACCCACAGACTACATTGTAGAAACATTTGCTTATTTCACAGACTTTTAAATGGCCACACAAACCACACAGACTTTGAGAGCTTATCAGGAAGAATATTGCCTTGTGAAAGTCTTCAGACTGACTGCCACATGATCTTCCGGATTCTTTCATTATTTCTCCTTTTAAAGCACAAAAATCTAATACTTGTTTTGAGATTTCATTAGTCTACTCTCATATAAGAGTTTCTCAGAGTAGCAGGCCAGACACTTCACAGATTGTTCTTGAGTTTTCTTGCACACAAGGCTTGTTGTTAGCATGCAGGCTTCAAAGGTTTGCCTCAAACAAACTTGTGTTTCGACAGTGAGAATAGGGAGGGTGGATTGTGGGATATGCTTCAAAGCTCACTACACACACTGCTCTTTCTGATGACATTTGCAAACACCCAGTAAGTGAATATGTTATGATGCAGGTTTTGTAATTGTATTTAATCATGATTTTGGTGTTAAACAACAGCACGGATTTAAGTTGTTGCATCAGTGTACAGAAAATCA